ACCATGGTATAAGAAGAAGAGAAACTTAAGAACAAACAACAGGAGAATCAATTAACTCTTCGCCGAGACTCAACTTACCAAATCCGATCATAGAAGATATGGAGGGTGAAGGAGTACACTGATGAGTCATTATATTCCAATATTTTTGTCCCTTTTCGAACTTATTTTAATTAGTGTTTTGAGCTTAACTTTCTATTATTAGTGAATTTTTATTTATTAGGTTTCATTGAGCCAATAATTCATATTTTAATTAATTTGAATCTATTTAATCTAATTTTTACTCATTATTAATTTTAGGACAGTTTAAAGCAATTTTGAGCCAGATGCCATATTACAGTTTAAAGCAATTTTGGCCTTGGAAAATTGGGCCAAATGTCATATTTTATTTTATACGGGTACTAACATTGGTTCACTGTTTTATTTATAATTTTTTCTACAGAGCTCCAAAAATCATAATTCTGGAAGCATTATAAACTAGACACTCTCAACTTTCTAGAGGATTCATAATCATTCAATTTGGAGCTAAATTGGATTTTAAATAAATTATCCAAAATGGGTCAAGCGCACCAGGTTGGCCCAATGGACATGCTTCAGTAATTTAAGTCTCCTAGATTCATTAGACCTTCAAAAATAGTAAAAATGGTGGCGTTTTAAAGCTAACTCAAAAGGATTTCAAAGGAGACTAAAATTGCTTAATTTGGATAATTATTGAAAATACTGCACGTGTTTGAAGTTGGCAGACTTGCACTAAAGTCAACTTATGATGTGTTTTGTGGACCAGTTGAGCCCAAAACCTAGATTAAGATTAGGGTTAGGATTATTTATGTAAGGGAGATTTAGGGTTAAGGGATAATGACACCATGCAACAACCTTTCATCTTTTGCAATTTGTATTCAAGTTTGTTTACTCTTCTGTCATTATTTTAAATTCTTGTTTTGATTTTAATTATGTCTCTTCTTCTGCGTTTTCGATTTTTCATGGATAGCTAAATCTTTATATTGATTTTCTGAGGAGAATTCAAGTATATCTTTGAGGTTTTGTTCTTAAATTTCATTTCATTTGTTCTCTTAACTCTTCATCTTCTAATCTCAGTGTTGAATTATAATTTGTTTATGCTTAATAAACCAAAACTAATATCATAGTTTGCTTAATTGTGTGTTAGAGATGAGATTATGTGATGTATGCAATGCTTAATTGTATAAGGATAATTTGGGGTTAATCTTCGCTTAGTTGGTTAATTTCATGTTGGAATAAGGGTTAAGGAAAATTTGGGATTAATCTTCGCTTAGTTGGTTAATTTAATATTGGAATAAGGGTTAAAAGCTAATTTGGAAATCTTCATTTAGTTGATTAATTTTGGATTGGAATATAATTTGAGATTTATCTCCGCTTAGTTGGTTAATTTCAAATTAATTTCGTAACCTAGGATAGGTGACACTGCATTCGAATCAGGAAATCAATTGTTTTCTCATTGTTTTATTCAATTTCTATTTTCTTTAATTTACTATTTATTATTATTATGCAAAACCCCTATTTCTGTTGTTTAATCTGTATACTCGTGTAAGAACATTGGTTTGATCTGTAGTTCATTGGGAGACGACCTAGGGAAGCTTCCTAGTATTACATTTATCTATTTTAATTATTTGACTGAGTATGACATCGATCATAGACCCACCTAGAAGAACACTCGAAGATTATGTTATGCAACAAGGCCCGAGACACATCTTCAGCATTGCAATACTAGCCAACCAGTCCTTAGAGATGAAGTCAACCTTCTTATGCTTGATTAGTGCTCATCAATTTACTGGAATGGATCATGAAGATCCCTATATTTATTTGTCTACTTTTTATGAGTTGATTGGTACCATGGGGTTTAGAGAAGGAGATATTGAATCTGCATACATAAGATTATTTCCTTTTTCATTGGCTGGCAGGGCAAAGGAGTGGTTAAAAGCACATCCTAATCAAAGTTCCTGAACAGATTTTTTCCACCATCCCGCTACATCAAAGCAAAGTCCAACATTTCTACTTTCAAACAAGGAGCGGATGAACCCTTTTGTAAAGCATGGGAGAGATTCAAATAACTGTTAAGGAGGTGCCCAAATCATGGATTTGAAGACATTATCCAGTTGAACATATTCTGCACTGACTTGAGACCTGACACAAAGATGCTCTTAGATGCTGCAGCAGGAGGAACCATGATGTCTGTGGATGTTGAAAATGACACAAGAATTATTGATGCACTAGCCTCTACAGACTAGTAGACCCAACATGATAGACATCCAGTTTAGAGGAAAGGAGTACTTGAGCTTAGCACCTCAGATGTTATCTTAGCTCAAAATAAAATCTTGACTCAACAGATTGAAGTATTGACCCAACAGATGGTGAAACTACCTCAACAATTACATGTCCAATCTTCTCCTAGTCAACCATTCAAATGGACATTGTTCTTACCAAGGAAACTTACAAGCAGAAGAAGCTCATTATATGGGTGCTCAAGGTGGTAGTGGCCAAGGACAACAAGGAAATTTCCCTAATTCTAACAACTATCCGAACAATTTTGTACAAGGATGGAGAGAGAATCAAAATCAGAATCAGAACTTTAGGTGGAAACAAGGTGTTGGTCCATCTAATAGACAACCTCCTTATCAACAACAGTCATATCAGCAACCTCCATATCAACAACAACAACATTATCCTCTAGTGCATGAGAGAATAGACAAATTGGAGGAAACTCTAGAGAAATTCATGCAAGCTTCCTTGTGTAATGAGAAAAATACGGAGGCTTCGATAAAAAATATAGAGACCGAGGTGGGCCAATTGACTAAACAGTTATCTCACTACTAGAAAAATGGTTAATAGTGATCAAAATTAGTTACCGAAAAATTCAGATCACCGATAAGTAATCGAATCAATAACTCGAATTCTCTTTTTATATTTAGTGACTAAAATTTTAGTTACAAAACAAATAATATATAAATTGGTGACTATTTTTCATTTATATAAATATTTATTAAAAATATTTTAATAATATATTAAATATAAATCTACTTAATAACTTAAAATAATTGATGACATTTTTAATACCATTATAAATATTTGAAAAAATATAGTTTAATAACTTAGAAATATTAAATAATTTAGTAATATAATTATTTGATTTGATTTTTTAATTTAGCATTTGAATAAAAAAATTGATTATTAAATTAGTCATTGAATTAGTCACTAAATCGATCATCGAATCGATCATCGAATTGGTCATCTGAATCGATCACCGAATCTAGTCATTAAATCGATCATTGAATCAATCATTAAATTAATTATTTATTTAGTCTCTTTATATATATATATATATATTATTTGTATGTTAATAAAAATATATTTTAATGTATTTATAAAAAAATTAAAATTATTTTAATTACTTGATATTTCAAATTTATATTTCAAAATTAAATTTATAATAATAATTATATAAAATTACATAATTAATAAAATTTAAATTACTAGTAATTTTTTTAATTATTAAGCTAAAATTTAATAATATTAATAAATTAAAAATAAAAAATAAATAAATGTGTATATATATATATATATATCACTTTAATTATTTTAATTAAAATTAATTTAATGAAAAAACTAATATTTGAAAATATGAAAAAAATAATAATAAAAAAAGAGATTTAAAAAATAAAACAAAATTTCCTTTTTTTTCTTAATATTTTACTTTTTAAAAAAAATAAAAATGAAAAATTATAAAAATTTTGCTTTTTCAATAATATATATATATATATATATATATATATAGATATATAATTAAAAAAAACAATCCATTATATTTTACCCTAATTTTCTGAAAGACGGTCTCGTGACCTCTCATTTTCTCCTCACCCACGCAGCTCTCTCCTTCACCATGCCCTCACTCACTCTGTTTCTCCCCTCAACCTAGCCCAACCACCACCGAACCACCACACTACCGCAACCAGCAACCTCTACCCATACCCGCGTCTTCTCCCTCATCCTCTAGCCCTAGTCGATGGCCTTTCACCCCCACTCAGACCCATCCTCGGCTCTGTCACTCTCTCCAGGGCTACGCTTCGTCCTCTATTCCAGGTGTCGACCACCATTGAAGCCCAGCGGCCCTCCATCGAGCCTCCCTCACAGGCATCATATCGCCACTCCTATCCTTCGTGGTTGTGCCACCGTTGGTCGTCTTTATAAGCCCTAACTGCACCCCCCCACCCACGATCATTAGGGGTGTCGCGGGCCATTTCCTAGCCCTAATCGCAAGTTGCCATGACGAACAAACAACCTCGACCGTGGATACTTCTTAATCGTGTCGTCGCTGCTGTGAGTGGCATCCTCGGAGCAGTGCCATCCCCTAATCGAAGGTGAGGCCGTGAGCTAGCTTCCCTCGCTTGATTTATTCTCTGTTTCGAATTTATTTTGATATGGTATTGCATTTTAGATTGACGGTTGTGTTTCTGATGGTTTAGTTTTGTAAATTTTTACTCTGCTTGTTGTTGTTGCTTCTGAATGGGGTCTGTCGAATGGTGGTTAGTGGCTTTGGTTTGGTTTTCTTCGTCTGAGTGTGTACAACGATTCGTGTTTAGTCCTAGTAGCTGTCGGTCTGTGTCACTCTGTTTGTTGAAGCAAGCCATGACCCCAAGGCTTGTTTGGATACGCTTGCTTTGAGGAAGAAGGCGGACATGGAGTTTCCTAATCGAAATCTCACCTGGCTTAACTTTAACTTGTCTTTAAGTTAAGAATCAAATCTATCCACTGGGCTTTACCTTCTATTCTTCTTCCATTTCAAAAATACATGCATTCATATGTTCAACTTTTGGTTGCTTTTTTACAATATCAGATTCATGTATATTCAAATTGCAATCAATCTCTGTGTGGTAATGTTCTGGGGACATCAATCTGCTTGATATAATTTGGTATATGTATTATATTTAGCACGAACTCTGCATGATTTGTATGTGTATATATGTTTGAAGATGGAACAGATGTTGGCTTCACAAGAAGATGGATCATCTCTGATATGTTATCTTCATTCTTGGTGTTGCAGATATCAGGAGAATCATAAAACTCAAGGAAAGACAATTGGAGCATCCTTCGTGAAGGTAATGAATCTCTTAACCATTATCTTGTTACTATTATATTGTATATCTCAAAGCGTTAACTTTTTGTTTTATTAAATTTGAAAAATCTGTTATGATAATCAAAATCAGACTTCCTTTGACTTGGTCTCATGTAGATTTATAATTTTACACTTAGTTTAATATTATCTTTAATTTGGTATAAACTGATTTTTAAAAAGCACTTTTTGTTATAATAATTGTATTAGACGTTTTAATTGACTCGATTCTCTTGTATTTTTGTTTTCTCTTTTCATTTGAGTTCTTTAGTTAATTTCTTCACAAGCTTGTCAGTTCTGTCATTCCCCTTTGTGGTGCACTTCGCAAACAAGTTTTTGAGGAGTGTAAATTTACACTTTCATATGTAAGTTCAAGATCATTATGGAATTTGTGAGTTCATATATAATTGATTGAAAGTTGCCATTTTTTTCCTGGAGGACAACAGTAAGTAATGTGTTTAAATAGTGATTGTTTCGTGTGATTGGAAAAGGGTGTGTTAATGGAGCTATTAATGAAGGAAGGGGTGGGTTTGTTCTTTGAAAAAAATTATCATGAGAAAAAAAAAGTAAAAGTGTAAAATGCTTTTTATGTTTGCTTGGGTTGATAGATATATAGTGGTTGAGATTAGGCAAATTTAGGTTCTATGTTTTAAAAAGGACAAAAAGTTTTTTATTTTTGCTTGGGTTGATAGATATATAGATGTTTTATGAACTAAAGATTAGTTTTATATAATTAAAGTAAAATTTTTAGAAAATTATGAGAGCATTTTTGTAAATTAACTTCCGCATAAATGTTTTTCATTTTTTGACTTCATTATTGATAATTTTTACAACATTAAATATCATCTTAAATTTATAACTGGGTTATGTACCATACTTAAGAGATAAGTATGTTTGAGAAAACAAAGAAGAAGTAATAGATTGTTGTGAAAATGACACTTGTTCACATTCACTTAATTTACTTAATATATGATGAGATAAATTTACGATTTAGATAGAATATGATAAAGAGAACGTGTTAGAAAAATAGTTTATTATGTTGATTAATTGAGTATATATATATAGTTAATATCTTTAAATATAAAACTAAAATAATGAAATAAGTAAATTTTAAAAAGAAAATAATTAATAGTAGAGAATTATAAAATATTGTAATTTTAACAAAGTTATGCTCTCATGTGCACTAGTTATTGTTAGCCTAACATATAATTAAAATAGTTTTTATAGCTTTACTAAGATATGTATTTATTTATTCTTTTTTGTTGAATATTATACTAACCATATTTGAGTTTTCAGGGATAAAAAAAGATAATGTGATTTAGTGAAGATGGAGAAGAAGAATTGATTTTATCATCAATTTTTATTGTGCACAAGCAGTTTGGCCAAACAATAAACGGGAGAAGATATATTTGTAATTTTTTAAAATATAAATTGAATATTGGTTGTATTTATTTAATTTTATTTTAATATATTTTTAATGTTTATTTTGAATTTTTAATATATAAAAGTCTAGTTATCATGTGAAGAATTGTCTAATTTTAATAATATTTAAATTAATTTTGGTGTGATCTATTTATACCAAATATATATATATTAATAGAATATAATAACATGCTTATTAAAAAGAAAAACTTTAGTGACTAAATATAGTGATATTTTATTTTAAAATTAATTATTGATTCGGTCACTCATTCGGTCACTAAATTGGTCACTCGATTCGGTCATTGAATCGGTCATCTGAATTGGTCACTAATCAGTGACCAAGGAAATAGTGATTGATTCCAGCTGATCACTATTTTAGTTAGTGACCGATTTTGATCATTTAGTGACTGAATTTTTTGTCACTATTTGGTGTTTTTCTTGTAGTGTCTGAGTAATAAGGAGGACAATTTTCAGTCAACACACAAACCAACCCCAGAGAGCAATGCAATTCAATAACTACAAGGAGTGGAAAAGTTGTAGGTAAGGGGATTAGTGATAATCTAGCTGTTGAAGAAGAGGTTTTGAGAAAAGAAGATGAAGAAGGAGAAAGTGAAGGTGGAGAAGAAGAGGAGAATAATAAAGAAAGACATATCCCTAATAAGAAGAATGAAAAGGGAGAGGAAAAACAAAAGATAAAAAAAGGAGGGAGTAAAAAACCATTTGTAGAGAAGTTACCATATTCCAAGGTTCGCTCACAGATAGACAAAGAAAGACAATTCACCAAGTTTATGAACATATTCAAAAGGCTGCAGATCAATATACCCTTTGTGGAAGCTATGGAGCAAATGTCAACATACGCTAAATTCATGAAAGAGCTCTACGAAAAGAAGATTTATTGATGAAACAGTGGAGTTAGAGGCAGGGTGTAATGCTATATGCCAGAAATCATTGCCTCAAAAGTCCAAGGACCCTGGAAGCTTCACTATACCAGTCACAATTGGTGCATTACTGGTGAAAAAAGAATTACTTGATTTAGGGGTCAGCATAAACCTCATGTCATTATCTATGCTCAAAAGAATAGGAGATTTGGATGTTAGACCAACTAGAATGACTCTGCAACTGGCTGACCGATCAACAAAGACTCCTTATGGAACAACAGAAGATGTTTTAGTTAGAGTGAATAAATTCATACTTCATGTTGATTTTGTGATTATGGACATGGAGGAAAATGTGGAAGTCTCATTGATCCTGGAAATGCCATTTATGAAGACTGCCAAAGTAATTATAGATGTTGACAAGGGCAGGTTGAAAATTAGAAGTGGAGATAATGAAGTTATTTTTAATCTGTTCAAAGCTGTACAACAACCGAAAGACAAGAAAGATTGTCTCATAATAGATACTTTGGAAGAGTTACTTATCTCAACTAAAAAACAAGATTACAAGGCTATTGCACAACCCCAAAGACATCTCAATCTGACTATGAAGGAAATTGTTCAAAAAGAGATACTGAAACCTCCTGAAATAGGTATGATTTACCCCATCTCTGACAGCTGTAAGGTGAGTCCTATACAAGTTATTCCTAAGAAAGGTTGGATGATAGTTATTCGCAATGAAAAGAATAAATTCATTCCAACAAGGACAGTCAAAGGATGGAGAATGCGTATAGATCACCTTGATCACTCATCTTGATCACTCACCTGCATGAACCATAAAGCAAACAGGTGTCGAACTAATGACGTTAAACAAGCACTTCTGGGAGGCAACCCAATGTTTTGAATTTGTTTTTCTATTTGCATTTTAAGTTTTTTATGCATTTTTCTTTCTTAGGTTCTTTATTTGCAAGATTGCTCCAGGTACATAGTGGACTTCTCCTCTCAAGACTTTGAAGTCTTACTTCAATGGCCTGGGGACAATCCAACTTTTCCGGGAGGGGGTGAGAAAATCTGCAGCTAAGGCTGAAGCACAAGATGAGGAGGAGATGACAAGTGAAGAAAATGAGGGAGGAATTTGAATTTGTTTTTAATGTTTTTAATTCCTTTATTTTGAACGTTTTTAATTTAATGTTTTTAATTGCTTTGTTTTAAATTTTAAATTCTCTTGTTGTCTCACATTTTGTTTTAGAGTTACATGAAATCATTGTTTATTGTCTAATTCAAATCTAGAACTTAATGAGGAGAATTAAAATGTTTTTTATTGTTTCCAATTACAAGTGATTTTAGGATGATTGTTAAATGGTAAAAAGTTGATATAATTATGCCTTGAATTGTTATGAAACCACTTAACTTATGTTAATTCTAATATATTTTTCTCCCAATATAGGATGAATTCGAGAATACATTGATACAAGAGTAAGGAGCATAATTGTCAGCATAATTGGAGTAAAATTGAAAGAAAGAAGAGCGCTTAAGCGAATGAATGATGCGAGGCCCGACCCAAATTATCTTATAAAAGGATAAGTTGTGTTTTGAGAAAAGCAAGCAGTCTTGGAGGAGAGGAGGCACGACTACTGTTAGGATTTTGTCTAATCTTCATCAATTGGAGCATTGCAATGGCCAACATGAGTGGCTAATTTCATTCTCTTAGGATTCGGTGCATTTCCTTTGAACTCTTTTGTATCATGGTGATATTTTGAGATATTAATCTATGCTTTGATGTTGTTATTCTTATCCTTTATGCTTTGAAATTATTTATTCTTGATTGTTTGAGGTATGATTGGAAAATATATCTTGAACCCTAGATCACGGTAGGAATATTTGTTATGTTAATTGCCAGGAATGGAATGAATGTATCAAGTGCTTAAATACCCTAACCCTAATGCTGGAAAATCTTTTAATTGTGTGAGGAATCAACATTTATTAGGTTTTCTTATGAATTTCATGTATGAGGAATCAACATGGATGATTTGAGTAGGTGGCATCAACATTGTTAGGTTAATTGACGTTCTTAATTGATTTACTCATTACAAAAGAGGGATAAGGAAGGAAGTCAATCCTAAGTATCTTTAATTGATATTTTCTCAACAATTTACAGTTCTTTGTCATTTAATTTCAATTCAACTCTTATTTGCAAAACTCAATCTGTTTAATTTACTTAGTAAGCATAATTGAGAATTTTCATTGAAATTGTTCCTCATGGGATCGACTTTTATTTAATCGAAATACTATATTGTGATTGATAATTTTGAGTACGCTTGCCAATAATTCAACAAGTATTTACGTGCGATTGCTTGGGAACGGTATTCTTTGAGAATTTTTTGTTTAGCTTATTGAGTATTTTATTTTTATTTATTTATTTTATTATTACTATTATTATTATTATCATTATTATTATTATTATTATCATTATTATTATTATTATTATTATTATTATTATCATTATCATTATTATTATCATTATTATTATTATTATTATTATTATCATTATCATTATTATCATCATTATTATTATTATTATTATTATCATTATCATTATCATTATTATTATTATTATCATTATTATTATCATTATCATTATTATTATTATTATCATTATCATTATCATTATTATCATTATTATTATTATTATTATTATTATTATTATCATTATTATTATTATCATTATTATTATTATTATCATTATTATTATCATTATTATCATTATTATTATTATTATTATTATTATTATTATTATTATTATCATTATTATCATTATTATTATTATTATTTAGTTTTTAGTTTGTGCTAATATTTGTTTGAGTTACTCTTTTGATTTATGCGTTTAAGAGGATAGGTATCTTTAGAGCAATTAGAATTTAATCCAGAGATTGAAAAAACAGCTCGGAGGAACCTGGGTAGAAGAAGAAGGGAAACTCAAGAACAAGCTACAAGAGAATCTGCTAATTCTTCTTTCACACTTGATTTAGTAGACCCAATTATAGAAGATAT